TGAGGCACCGGGTGTTAGGACTTCAACATATCTTGTTGCTAGGACACAGTTCAACCCGTAAACACTTTGGCCTCCTCTACACGGTAAGAGCTTTAAGGACAGGTCTGTCCGGTAACCCATTTTAGCCCCGGAGCCTGACTGACTGTCCCCCAGATGCTAAGTGTTCAACAAATATTTGCTGAATAAACAAACAGGTGACGATCCCACCTTCTTTGGACTTTTCTCGCGTCAAATAAAATATGAACTGTGTACATACTACAGGCAAAGCACTAAATTATTTTATGTTATTCAATGATGTGAACAATTCTCCCTAATTCTAAAGCATGAGTGCTTGCATACTTGGGAAACAGACACCACTGTATGTTCAAGAATTTGAAGCAAAATTTAACTTTTAACCCAGCATGTTAAGGATTTCATGTGAAAGTAAGCACCTTGGAAGTGTTTCTGAAGAGCTAGGATATTAATATCTAGGGCTCATGGTAAATGGAAACTGCTGAGCAAAAGCAGTGCTTGAGTTGTTGCCTGCTCACCAGAGAACAAGGCTTTCGGAGTCTCCCCTTTGAGAGTCACAGTAGCTCTCAAGTTGACCCTCCACTATAAACCGGAGTAAGGACTTATCTAGTTTTCTGTGCACCTTTCTTTTTCTTCCTGGTGGTTGGTGGGATCCAACAGAATCATGTATTTGAATTCTTTGGACTTAGAACCCAGCAACATGGCTCCATCATGTGATGGCAGAAAGGGGCTTAGAAGGTAACAGTGATTATCAAACCTGCCCACTCAGGAGTGACATAGGTCCTCCTGCCTGCGAGAAGCATCACCATCTCACCTGGAGGGAGGGAGACCCAAATCCCATGTCACCTCTGATGAGGCTGGGAGGAGGGTGGGCCTCCACTGTGTGAAGGGGGCAAGGCCTGATTTGCGTGGGAGGGGAGATGCTGGGGCTACTTCTGCTGGGTGGTCGAGTGGCTGCGAGGGAGGCTGCAGGCTGAACTTCTGTCTGCCCCAGCGGTGGAGCTGGTGGGTCTGAGCTGAGGTAGCAGAGTGGATGAGTGGGCAAGAAGAATTGTTTCCACACACTCTATACATTCTACGTGTCCCCACTAACTCAGACCCAACCCTCTTTATTAGGTCTGGTTTATGAAAGGGGCAGATATACACTGATTTTTCTGCTGTGGCCACCAGGAGACTGTGGCAAAAGTGAGAGAGGCCGAAACCAGTTTGGCTCAGTGGATAGAGCATCAGCCTGCGGACTGAAGGGTCCCAGGTTCGATTCCGGTCAAGGGCATGTACCTGGGTTGCGGGCATATCCCCAGTAGGAGATGTGCAGGAGGCAGCTGATCGATGTTTCTCTCTCATCGATGTTTCTGACTCTCTGTCTCTCTCCCTTCCTCTCTGTAAAAAATCAATAAAATATATTTTTAAAAAAGTGAGAGAGGATGTCCAGCTTCTTGAGTCTCCTCAGAAATCCCCAGACCAAGAACTGCTCCTGTCAAATATGATAGATTGGCAAGAGGAAGGGCAGCAAGATATAAACATTGTGAGTAGGCAGAGAACTTGTGTGAAATATCATTTCACTAGAGGCCTGGTGCATGAAATTCGTACAGGGAGCGGGGGGGGGGGGGGGTCCCTCATCCTGGCCTGCACCCTCTGGCAATCCAGGACCCCTGGGTGGATATCCGACTGCCAGTTTAGGCCCTACCCCTGCAGTCGGACATCCCTCTCACAATGTGGGACCACTGGCTCCTAATCGATCGCCTGCCTGATCGCCCCTAACCACTCTGCCTGCCTGCCTGATTGCCCCTAACTGCTCACCTGTCTGCCTCATCACCCCTAACCGCCTCTGCCTTGGCCCCTGCCACTACAGCTTCATCCGGAAGGATGTCTGGAATTATGTCCGGAAGGTCGTTTGGCTGTCTGGTCTAATTAGCATATGACACTTTTATTATTATAGATGTGCCCTGACCAGTGTGGCTCAGTTGGTTGGAGCATCATCCCCTACACCAAAAGGTGGTGGGTTCACTTCCCAGTCAGGGCACGTACCCAGGTTACAGGTTCGATCACCAGTTTGGTCATATGAGAGGGAACCAATCAATGTCTCTCTCTCAAATCAATTAAGAAAAAGAAATAAAGAAAGATAGTTACATGTATAAAAGAGGGGCAACCTGTTCAACTGTGAAATCTTGAACAATTAATTTAACATGTGGAACCTCAGTTTTATTACAATAAAAGGGGACTAATAACTTCTATCCCTTTACACTTTTGTGAGGACTTAATAATTTAACAAGAGTGTTGGATTCAGTTGGATTCAAAATCTGCCTTCCACCTACAAGTTGAATGTTCTTGGATAAATTATTTAGCCAGGTTAAATAACATGTTAAGTGTTCTCATCAGTAAAAGAAAAATACACTGTGAACTGTGTAACCCAAGCGTGGCAGGATGCCTGTGGGCAATTACATTGAGTGGCCAGATTATTATGACCACCCCATCAGTACAATGAAAATGAAGTGAATTAGTTATGCAAATAATAATAATAATAAAACCTTGAGAGTATTTGCTTAGGAAGTTTTCAATATTCAGTATTTGGGGAAGTGTCAATGAAGAACTAATGGGGTGGTCATAACAATCTGGCCACTCAGTGCAGATTTCTGTTTTCACCTCAAAGCAGGTCTCAGATTTTTAGTTAAGTTTACCTAAATAAGTGTGTGTGTTTTAAAATAGCCTCATGACATCAGATTTGGCAATGATTTACCAGATATGACACTAAACCCATGGGCAACAAGAGATAAAAATAGATAAATTGCACTTCATCAAAATATTAAAGTTTGGGTGCACTCTCCCTCTTGGGAACACGCCTGGCCTTCCCTCCCTTTGCCTTTCTCTCTCCTAAGCTCCAAGGGTCCTTCTTTTGCTTCTGTAACAAATTAAAAAGATAGTTGTACACCAGGTTCAAGTAGCACTATTTACAGTAGCCAAAAGGTGGAATCAACCAATGTCCATCGATGGATGAATGAACAAACAAGATATGATATATACATACAAAGGAAGGAAATTCTGCTCCCTCTCCCTCTTTCTCTCTCTCTCCACCCTTCCCACCCTCCCTCCCTTCTACCGATATATCAATCAATAAATAAAACTTTTAAAAAGACTGCTGTTTGAACTAAATAAATAAAAAGTAGGAACTTCTGACATGATACAACATGAATGAATCTTGAGGACATCATGCAAAGTGAAGTAAGTCAGTTGCAACAGATAAATATTGTATGAGAAGCCTAAAGTACTCAGATTCATAGAGACAGAGTACAGTGATGGTTGCCAAGGTCTGAGGGAAAGGGGGAATGGAGAGTTATTGTTTAATGGCTACCGAGTTTCCGTCTGGGAAGATGAAAGAGTTCTGGAGATGGATGGTGGTGAGGGTTGTAAAACAATGTGAATAAACTTAACGCTACCAAGTTGTCCACTTAAAAATGGTTGAAGTAGTAAATCTTATGTATATTTCATCCTAAAATGCTTTTTAAAAAATGCTTGATGCATTCGGACACGTGTAAGGACTACATCTGCTGTTCTGTAAAGCATACACGATGGGACACCTAGCAGGGGCGCCAAAGTAATTCCCTCCTTCCCTTCCCAAAGTGGCTACATTATTTTCTAGTTATAGCTGCTATTCCATATTCTATTAATGTACAACTTAGTGATAGTCGCTTACATACCCTGTGAAGTGACCACCACGATGTGGCTCGCACACCTCTGACCCTCTACAGAGTTATTACACGATTACTGACCATACTCCCTATGCTGTACTGATTTTATAACTGGCAGTTTGCACTTCTCGATCCCCTTCACCTTTTCCACCCACCCACCCCAATCCGGCAACCCAAGCGGCTAGATTACTGATTGCACAAAGAAATCGATCTGTTCAACAGAGGGAAATACTGCCATTTTTAATTCTATTAGAACGATGACTACTTTATTGTAGGCATTCCTATTACCTTCCTTGCCAAAAGCTTTGGCTTAAAACGCGCGTTCGCCATCCTTAACACATTAGACCCTCAAAAACAGGACAGACAGAGAAAGAATGCCTACAAAAGCAACAAAAGGCGGCATCCCGACCCCCCGCTGTTCATTTCACTGCTCAGGGTTTGTTTTAGCTGCCAATAGCCGTCTACGCACCGCACCGCTGCAGTTGTATCATTACGGTTTTAATCACAAATAACCCCGGGCTGGATTCGAATGATTTCTTAGCTTCTGAGGTTCCACGTCTGAACAAAGTAGCCTCAGTGAGTTCTCACGACGACTGGAAGGAGAGCGCTGGTTGTCCCAGAACCCGTTTGTTCCCACCGCCCCCAAAGCAAAGCGCTTCTCTCCGCTGCGCTCGCTCCCTCTTTGCTCTTCTCCCCCCACTCCTCACGTCGCCGTCTTTCTTGGCACCTCCTTTCTTCACCCTCTTTCCCTTCTTCCAGGGACCCGCTCGCACAGCCACAAGTCCAACACGAACCGTGCGATTTCTCTTTAGAAAAACTCGTGCCTCAAGGCGAGAATCAGCGAGGACGCGGCCGCAGGATGGACGCTCCCACTCCACCAGCAGCGGGACTGCGCGCCCGGGCTCTCGGGTCGGGTGGGGCCGGGATCGCGGCCGGGGATCGCTCCTCGCCCGGAACAGCCTCCCACTGTTACTGCGGGAGCGGGTGCCAGCCGCTAGCGCCGCCCGGGCGCCCGGGTGCCTGGGTCGGATCGGGTGACCCAGCGGGCGTGCGCCTGGCCGCGGGGCTGGGCTCCCGGCGGACAGAAGGCCCGCCCCGTCCCGCCCCGCCCCGCTCTGCAAAGAGCCTAACTCCTGCGCTCGCCCGCACTCCCGCCGCTCCGCGCCGCCCGCCCGGCTCGCCTGCTCCCGCGCCCACTCCACGCGCCGCAGCCATGTGTCCCCGAGCCGCACGGGCCCTGGCACCGCGACTCCTCGCGCTGGGCGCGCTGCTGTGGCCGGCGGCCGGCGCCTGGACACTCACCATCCTGCACACCAACGACGTGCACAGCCGGCTGGAGCAGACCAGCGAGGACTCCAGCAAGTGTATGCACCCCGACCGCTGCGTGGGCGGCGTGGCGCGGCTGTACACCCAGGTGCAGCGGCTGCGCAGCTCCGAGCCCCACGTGCTGCTGCTCGACGCCGGCGACCAGTACCAGGGCACCATCTGGTTCACCGTGTACAAGGGGGCGGAGGTGGCGCACTTCATGAACGCCCTGGGCTACGACGCCATGGTAAGCGGGTGGCCCCGGAGCCCCGGGAGGAGTGGGAACTGAGCGGGAAGCCGGGGAGGAGGAGGAGCCCGTGGCTTGGCACCGGGTGGCCAGCCAGCGCCTGGGAGCGAGGTAGGGAGAAAGGCCAGCGTGCCAAGTAGGTACAGACGCGGAAGTCTCTCGGATGATGCATCTAAACGTGTTGAAGTTGGCGCTCCCACCATGAGATGTGAGTAGTTAGGGGAGCAGAAACCAGCCCTGCCTATCAGAGGAATAAGCTGGGGCACGTCGGAGTTGGGCAGCTCTCAAGTAGACCTGTCACGCATCGCGCTCACTTGCTGCTCCCGCTGTCTTAGAATGCTTCATCTCGGTTTTACTGGAAGGAAAACTCAGGTCAAAGTCCTTGGGTACATGATCCTGGGCACCAGCTCCAAAAGAGGAGACCTGTTATGTATGGATTCCAGAGCCCTTTGACCCCAGCTTGACCTTGATGAAGTTCCCAGCCTCAGGTTAGGTGCTCTGCTCAGCTACCTTAAGTGTTGCAAGCTGTTTACTGTCTCCGTGTCTCCGTTCTGGCAGCTAAAAAGTGGGGGTAAGAACTCTGTGTACCTCGCAGAGTTGCCTGACACGAAGTGCATGCAGCTTCTATACATGTTAGTTCTTCTTCTTACCAGACACTGCTGTGTAAATCTAAGAAACGAAAGAAATTTCCACAGAGGACCAGAATGCTGAAAACGCTGGGGTTTCAGAGGACTTCAATAAAACCAGTTTGGCAGCAGAGATTTAGGAAGCATCCAGCTTAAGAGACAAGGGACTCCTAGAACACGTGCAAGAGTTTAAGTCCAAGCTCCCAAGTTCTCTGGTAAAGATGCTGCCTTATTTGTTGTACTGAATTTTGGAGAAGGAGCAGAGAGGGTTACACAGGAATGAATAAGTATAACCAGTTTGCGTGTTTAAGCAAACCCCTCCCCCAAGTTTAACCCTGTGTACTACCCTTGAGGAAGGAAGTCTGTGGAGAACCTGGGAACCAGAACTTAGGAGTGTCAGAAGAGAAAGAACAGAGCAAGGGTCCAGGGCAGGGGTGGGCAAACTTTTTGACTCGAGGGCCACAATGGGTTCTTAAACTGGACCGGAGGGCCAGAACAAAAGCATGGGTGGAGTGTTTGGGTGAACTAATATAAATTCAAAGTAAACATCATTACATAAAAGGGTACGGTCTTTTTTTTTTTTTTTAGTTTTATTCATTTCAAACAGACCGCATACGGCCCGCGGGCCGTAGTTTGCCCACGGCTGGTCCAGGGCAATCTGTGAAGTCCTGGCTGGGGAAGGGCAGGAGAGGTGTGGGCGAGTCTGGGGAACAGAGGCCTAGTAAGACACTTTGTATGAGAAGAGCACAGAGGTCGGCAAAGCACAATGCTGGATTTTTTCCTGGAAACTTAGAAAAAGAAGGACAGGAAAAGGTGATAAGAGAGTACAGTTGTTTCGTTTTCTTCAACAAGAAAGCTCATTTTAGAGAGAGGAGAGAAGGGCAGATGGCTGGGTTGAAGGTTATCAGAACCTCTCAAAGCAGCAGCAATTCAAAGGGATCCCCAAGCCCCAGTGTTTATGGGGTGCTCAGCAGAAGAATGGTGGGTCCCAAGAACTCTGTGTGGCTTCACAGCCTGACCTGCCTGATGCTTAGTACACAGTAATGGCCAGATAAATATTTATCTAATTAAATTGTTATTAGCCTACTTCTCCATTTCCCCTCCAGAAGGGTAGAATAAACCTTACATGAGTTTGTTTTGATTTCACATATAAACCACAACTTTGTAAACTTTTCTTTCTGTGACACCCTTTTCTCCACAGTTGTGTAAACTCCTTTGGGGTGGTTGGGGTGGGGGGGCGGGGAAGAATTCCTAGTTTTCTCTGATAATACTGTTTTCCTCTTTAAGTCACTGAGCTCCTGGTGTTAACCATCTTATCCAGTGTTTATGACAGGACTCTGGGCGAGGTGGGGGCCGTCTGCAAGTTCCAACCCATCACCACCAGGAATGCTTTGAATGCTTTTTAGAATGTTGGATGGAATTATTTTCTTTTAAGTTTCACTCAGAGTGGCTGGACTGGGGCTTGAGGCTACATACATAGTTGGCAGGGGGTGAAGGGGGCGAGGAGCTCCAAGGGGGCTGGCTGAAAGCCACCTTCCTGATAGCATCTCATCAGGACTTTGTGCAATTCTGGGGTTTGAGGAGCACAATTTTTTGACCTGCATCAAATCCTAGTTCTTGCAATGCTTTAGCATGTGGCAAAACACTGCCCTGTTGTTGTTTTGCAGAGATGTTTCACTGTCCTTTTGTTTATACTACTCTCAGGAAATTATTGGTGTTCCGCTATAAAGGTTTCCCTGCCCGCCTGCCCGCCTACCCACTGCCCACTTCTTGAATCTCAGGAAACTGGAGATTCCAGAGTGGAAAACAGTTGTGGAGGGACAATCTCCAGTTCTCTAAAAGCCGGACCTGGTTAGAGGAGCCACAAATAAGGACTCGGGTGTGGGTGGCAAAGAGGAAGCTGCTGGAACCCAGCTAAACCCCAGGAGTTCCCTCCAGCAGAGTCTCTGAGGAGGCGTAGACTTCCCAGACCTGCTGCAGCCGGGTGAGGGCTGCTGGAGCAGTTCTGAGAGGCCCACAGGTCCCAGGGTGAGACTGCAGACCTCACAGACCCTGCTGGCAGACAGCTCTAGAGGCAGGACAGCAGAGCGGGGGAGGCCTGGTGTCCCTGGGCAGCAGGAGGACAACGTGGATGCACTCACTCCCACCGGGAGGGAGGCCAGGTTACTTTCTCGGGCCTCCTGTTCCCTAACTGTAAAGCAGGAGGGATAACCCCACCCTGCACTGAACGATGCAAGTGATAAGTAATTTGAACCTCCCCAGTGCTCAGCAGAGGTTCATTCCATGGGTTCTAAAAGAAAAAAAAAGATTGAGAGGAAGGGAAGGCTTGGGTTTTACAGCCATCCCTTTGTCTGATTCTGACCACCTGGCACAGTCTACCTCCCTCTTCCATCCCTTCCACCGTCTTTTCTAAGCCCCATTGTCTAAACTATCCTTAATGTTTACTCATTGAGCAGACTTATGAAATCCTCCCCGCCGCCCAAGCACAAAGCCAAACGAATTCATCTCTACAAGTGAGAGTCTCACCATTGAGGTGGGTGGGCTGTGAGGAAGGGCAGCCTCCTCTCTAGCTGCCCTTGCTTCCGAGGCCTGGCCCCTGAGCCCACTTTCTGCCCAAAAGACCGCGGCCTTAGCCTTAACGAATTGCCCCAGGGAGCCTGAGCCAGCAGCTGGGGTGGGGACCACTGCCCCTGTCTTTAACTCGCCCAGGGGACCACTAGCCAGGTACCCATGTCACGCTTAGGCAACCATTGTAACGTGTGAGATGGTTATGTTTTGTTCCTGTGTGTACTTGCAGAACCTTTATTATTTGAGGTGCTTGTTTTTAAATTATGTTACTCAGCTCATTCTTGTCCTTACTTTCGTCCTAAACTGGTATGATCTGTCCCTGTCATTTTGAGTCTACCGTGCACATACATATAATTGTGCATCATGCCCCACAGAGATCTCCCCCCCTCCCCCACGCCCCAGTGATGGGTTCACAGAGATCACGAAAATTCTGCTGTAATTCCACAAGCATGCTACTCCTAATAGCCTCCTGCCAGTCCCGCTGTGGGCATTTCTTTGGGCAGGATTGCTGACCACAGGCACGTATATGTTGACTTTGACTAAGGCTGCCACATTGCTTCCTGAGTGACTGGAGCCCCCTCCCCCTCCCCCTTTTCCCCACGAAGATGTGAAGCCCTATCCTTACCCATACCTTGTGGCATTGTCCCGCTTTCCAGCAGGTGTCAGGTGACATGCTTGCTTGATCTTGTATTTTTCTAATAAATAGTGAGTTTGATATATTTGTTGATTTTTGAGGGGGGCTTCCTCTTTCCTAATTGCATGTTCACATTATTTGCTCTTTTTTAAAATTGGGTTTGCTCTATTTTTCTTGATTTCCAGAAGTTCTAGGTATTGATCTGTGATCATTTTTAACCATTTGTATGCCATACGCATCTATAGACGCAAGTGGTGGTCCTTTTTTAATTAAATTCAAGTAATCATGGCAGTTAATGGGTTAAACTTTGAAAATATTTTTGATTATGTTATGTCCATTAACTTTGTCTATAGTGTCTTTAATTGAACAGAAATTCTTCATTTGGTATAATCAAATTAATCTTTCCTTTAGCCTTGCAGTTTGTACTTTTGAAAGTTTACATGACTTTATCATTTGAAGCTTATGGTCCCTGGTACTTATCACCAGAAATTCAGAGCTCAAATTAGATTATTATCTCTCTGCCTTTTGATGATAATAATCTATAATCTGGGGGTATGGCATCACCTCTCTGAGTCACTAGTTCCTTATACTATATAATAAAAGGCTAATATGCAAATTGACCGAACAGCAAAACAACCAGTCGCTATGATGCACACTGACCACCAGGGGGCAGATGCTCAATGCAGGAGCTGCCCCCTGGTGGTCAGTGTCCTCCCACAGGGGGAGCACTGCTCAGCCAGAAGCCGGGCTCACAGCTGGCAAGCACAGCGGCGGTGGCAGAAGCCTCTCCTGCCTCCGCAGCAGTACTAAGGACCCCTCGGGGGATGTCCCCCAGGGAGCGGGCCTAAGCCAGCAGTCGGACATCCCCTGAGGGGTCTTGGACTGCGAGAGGGTGCAGATCAGGCTGAGGGACCCCCCCCCCTGCAGTGCACAAATGTTGTGTACCAGGCCTCTAGTTCTATATAATAAAAGCCTAATATGCTAAGTGTCTGGTTGACCGGTCGGCCATTCGACCAATCAAAGCGTAATATGCTAATGATAT